TCTCTTGCATTCATCAATGAACCATTTCTGCTCTACATACTAGTTAGCCCAAATATAATTATTTTAAACATCTTATTAAAATCTTTCCTTTTCTTAAAAGTTCTCTTCTTCACAACCTTTTCTGCAAAATAATGAATATCAAATTTCATGCTTGTATTCGAACCTAGGTATCCAAAAATATAATTATATTTGAAACATCTCATTGAAGTCTTTCTTTTTATGTTTCCTAACTACCAAATATCCGTTAGAAAACTTGTATGGCATGACCTTTTCTGCAAAATAATAAAGACCAAGGTTCAAACTTTTATTCGAACCTCATTTTTTTTTTTTTTTTTGTCTTCTTTTCTTTTCAACAGAATGAATTAGCCCTTGGCAATATTATCTTCAATTTACTCAATGTTTCAAATGAGTCGGATACCACCGAAAAGAACATTGGTCTTTTCTTACTTAACCATTACAAAGCATAACATTAACGCATCTCTTGCATTCATCAATGAACCATTTCTGCTCTACATACTAGTTAGCCCAAATATAATTATTTTGAACATCTCATTAAAATCTTTCCTTTTCTTAAAAGTTCTCTTCTTCACTACCTTTTCTGCAAAATAATGAATATCAAATTTCATGCTTGTATTCGAACCTAGGTATCCAAAAATGTAATTATATTTGAAACATCTCATTGAAGTCTTTCTTTTTATGTTTCCTAACTACCAAATATCTATTAGAAAACTTGTATGGCATGACCTTTTCTGCAAAATAATAAAGACCAAGGTTCATACTTTTATTCGAACCTCACTTTTTTTTTCTTTTCTTTTCATCAGAATGAATTAGCCCTTGGCAATATTATCTTCAAATTACTCAATGTTTCAAATGAGTCGGATACCATCGAAAAGAATTTTGGTCTTTTCTTACTTATCCATTACAAAGCATAACATTAACGCATCTCTTGCATTCATCAATGAACCATTTCTGCTTTATACTAGTTAACCAAAATATAATTATTTTGAACATCTCATTAAAGTCTTTCCTTTTCTTAACAGTTCTCTTCTTCCTAACCTTTTCTGCAAAATAATGAATATCAAAGTTCATGCTTGTGTTCGAACCTAGGTATCCAAAATTAAATTATATTTGAAACATCTCATTGAAGTCTTTCTTTTTATGTTTCCTAACTAATCTGCTCGACATACTAGTTAGCCTAAATATGATTATTTTTTTGAACATCTCATTAAAGTCTTTCCTTCCAAACATCCATTAGAAATCTTGTATGGCATAACCTTTTTTTTTTTTTTTGCAAAATAATAAAAACCAAAGTTCATCCTTGTATTCGAACCTCACCTTTTCTTTCTTTCTTTTCTTTTCATCAGAATGAATTAGCCTTTGGCAATATTATCTTCAAATTACTCAATGTTTCAAATGAGTCGGATACCATCGAAAAGATTTTTGGTCTTTTCTTACTTATCCATTACAAAGCATAACATTAACGCATCTCTTGCATTTATCAATAAACCATTTCTGCTCTACATACTATAGCCAAAATATAATTATTTTCGAAAATCTCATTAAAGTCTTTCTTTTTCTTAAAAGTTTTCTTCTTCATAAATACCGAATGAGATATTTTGATATTATTGTTGTTCTTTTTTTTTTCTTCAAACGCATTGTTAAGTTCAGCTGCTTGCTTCTTCTTCTTCTCTTTTTCGTTTCCGTTTCAGATCATATTGGCTGCTCAAATATTTAATAATAGATTTCATTCATCTTGATGGCTGTTTTCCTTCTGTTTCCTTCTCCATCCTCATTTCAGCTCACATTGGTTTTTGAAATAATCAATATGGAATTTTTACTTATCTTAAACGGTTATTCTCCCTCTGTTTCTTGTCTCCATGCTCCTTCCTGTCACCACTGACGTTGGTCGCTGCAATGATGTTTCCCTTGGTCGTTACACCCTTGTGTCCATCACCTCTATTGGCGCCTCCGCTCCTCTGATAGGATTTCCCGTCTCATTCGTTTCCCTCTGTTCCTCTCGGTTTCGTAGAACATTTCCTTCAGCCTGCTCGGTCAGTTTCGTTTCCTCGTTTTCCTTGTTGTCCCGGACATTGATCGCTGCCGTATGCCCCACCTTGACTTGAACTCCCATAGCGCTCTTCTCCAATTTGTTTATAAGGCTCTTCTGTTCCCCGATTGGAACTAGGACATGGTCTACGAAAAGCTTCGTTGGCTCCGCACGACCAAAAAACGCTAGTTTCCCTGCGCTCCGGGCTGCTTTTAGGGTAGGTACCTGCACCCTCCTTAGCTCCCTCACATGCTTAGGTAGGTCATCCGTCAAATAAATGTTGGAGCCTTTGAGAAGTTTGGCGTTTTTCTGCACCAAGAGTTTGTCCGCATATCGAGTAAATCGCGCTTTAATAGGGCGGGGTCCCCCACCCGCTGCAGCCACCCTGTGTACTCTCTGGTACTCAATTCGTTGTATAACATCGTCCTCCATTTTTAGTTTATCTTTGTACAATTTACTCAGCTCGCTGGAGAGATTTTCGTCCTTCACTTCTTTCAATCCCAAGATGACTAAATTCTCTCTAGCAACATACGTAGCTAATCTGTCGACTTCCTCTCGAAGTTCCTCTTCTTTTCGTTTAAAGTTTGTTTCCATGTCAGCCATTTTTACTTTTAGCTGGTCTGTTTCGTGGCTTTGAAACTCCAGCATAGCTCTAATGTCATTAAGGTCATTGTCCAACTCTTTAATTTTAGTAAATAACGAGCTTTCAAAGTTCTTGAATCGACTCTCGAATTTTTCCATTTGGGCATCTAAAAGTCTTCGTATCACTGGTATTAGAGCGCTTGTATCGGTTGGGCTGGGCGGAGTCTCACCGCGTGGCCTCTTGGCTGCTTTGGTTACTTTCGACATAACGCGGAAGATACGCGGAAGATACGGAAGGGGGAGAGGCGGTGAAAAGAGCGTGCTTACTCGACGATGGTCATTGGTGCAAAAAAAATGATTTTGGTTCGGTCGTCAATATTTCAATGCAATGATCATGATCGTGTTCAAAAGGGAGGAAAGAAGAAAGAAATATACAAATTAAATAAAATGGGGGGAAAAGAAGAAAAATTGAAGAAAAAAACAACCGAACAAACAACAGGAAAGAGAGAAAGAGAGAAGTGGAATGCCAAAACAAACAAAAAGCAAGAAAGAAATCAAAGAAAAAGGGGAAAAAGAAACAAAGAAAGAAACGATAGAGCCTGGAAAGGCTTTCACATTTTTCAGGTGCATTTTTGATTTTGTATTTTATTTTCGAAATCTAACCCTAATTACCTATATAGTGCCAATAGTTGCTGGTCACCCTGTGGACAAACAATATTGGTGGGGGTATAGACCTGTTGTGTTTCTACACAGTAAATATAATCAGGGGCGGATCTAGCTTTTTGCTCAGGGGGGGGGGGGTTGACCAATAATGACGATGCGGAGCATCGTCCACGAGCCGCGAAGCGGCGAGCCGATTTTTTGGGGGGTGTTTATTTGAACCCTGTAAGTGATGTTTTCCTGGCATCTATTAACACAATGGAGACCATAAAAAGCAGTGCATGATAACGTCTTTTTAAATCAAGTAACAGTTAAATACACAGTTATATCCAGAGTTATCATGTGTTTGGTTAAGTTACCAGATGAGTTGAATATCTTCTCACAATATTTGCACTTGAAAGGGTTTCTCTCCAGCGTGCGTTCTTTTTTCTTTCTTTTTCTCTTTTTTTTTTCCTTTTTTTTTTTTTTTTTTTTTAATGTGGGGATTTTGGGGATGAGAATCGGCAACGCTGGCCTAGCTTGTCACTTTGGCGGTGGCCCGTGTCCTCAAAAAAGCTGATGGGGGGGGGGGGCAAGGGACTCTGTGACATTTGTTCGCCCAACCCCCCCCCCCCCCCTCCCCCCCAAAAAGAAATAATAATAATAATAAATAATAATAATAATAATAATAATAATAATAATAATAATAATAATAATAATAAATGAAATAAATACATAGAAATAGAATAAAATTACAAGTTTTAAAAAAAAGATAAGATTTAAAAAAATGGTCCCCGGATTTTTTTTTTTTTTTTGGGGGGGGGGGTTGCAACCCCCCCCCCCCCCCCCCCCCCCCCCCCCCCCCCCCCAACCCCCCTCTCGATCCGCTTCTGTATAACTGAAAATCCTTAGACAATTGAGATAACGTTCCTTACTTATTGGCATGTTCGTAATTGTTCAAGTCCTATCATGACAATGCGCCTAGTCTAAACAATATCACTCACATGAACAGATACTCTCTCACTAGTTTTTATTAATGTTACATATCTGAAATATCATTGTATCAATGGAATATGTTTATTGAATTAGGTACTACTTTCGCTGAAATTGCAGTTGAAGTTGGAATCTCCACTCATTTCAGGTTGCAGTATTTGCAAGATGGGCAGAGTGGGTATATTATGGGGGAGCATTATAATAACTGTGATGGGAGGACATCGGACTTCGATGGGTCAAGAGGGCCTATCTTCTTCTGACGTTGCTTTACCTTTTCCCTCATTAATTCCCTCTCCATCCGGCCATCCGCTCGCTCTATCATCTCTCTCTCTCTCTCTCTCTCTCTCTCTCTCTCTCTCTCTCTTTCTCTCTTTCTTTCGATTACGTGCCACTTGGCAATTTGATTACCCCCTCCCCCCCCCCAATAAGCATCAACACCACTGATTATGATGTATATTATATATATATATATATATATATATATATATATATATATATATAACATATTCACTTATACAGATGAGAAGCAAACTCACTGATTTTGTATGTCTGTAAAGACAGTAACCGTAGATGGCGCGATACCAGTAAGAAAAGTGTCGCTCATTCTGGATTGTTCCTGCACAAACTACACTCCACTAATAAACAACAAGCGTGTACGTGTTATACTATAGTTAAGATCGAGAGATTTCTCGAATGGTTTGCGGATTCGCGCGTTCTGACGAGAAACATATAAAAGGCAGATGTTCCACCTGGATTCATCACATCGATAAAGGAGAAACATCCTGTGCATAAGAGAGTTCCTAACATTTTGAAAACCACTTCAGAGTTCATTTTCATCTCAGTTTTGAATTCAACTCGATTTAAGAACAAAATGGAACCATTTTTCTGTCCGCCTTACTATCCAAGCCGATTCTACGGTTCGGAGCCACCAGTCTTGTCTCATGACTGGATGTTAGACATGGGTTCGTGGTATGATGGTCGCATGCAACCTTTCGCTCATCCTCCATTCGGATATCATCGTCAAGTTCATTATCCTGTTGCTACTAGGCAAGGACGCGAAGACGGCATAATTAGGGGTGACGTATTTACTCCCCTGAGATCGAGAGCGGCATCCGTCCGTTTGCCATTCCAGCAGCTCTTTGACGACAAGCTCTTCGGGTCTGGCTTAGCTGACGACGTTATCTGCCTTCTTGAACAACACTCGCAGAAACTCGACGAAGCCAACAAGACGTCTGGAGAAGGATTGAAAACTAGTGCAAATGAGGATTCATCCGTTGTATCTACATCATCTGAAAATGTGGACCTCACAAAGCCATCGACGTCTTCAGCCGAACCAACTAGCAAAGAGTCATCACGTTCCGGTGAAGACGTGAGAAAAGAAATTGCAGAGAAGAAGAGGGCTAACCCTTGTGATGGTTACATGCTTCAATTTGAGCGCTCTCCTCACGGATTGTATCGTCCTGTGTACTCTCCTGTTTCTCTGAGGCGAAAACAAGGAAGTGCGCCAGTGAAACAGCTCCTCGACGACGACTTCTTCAAGTCTGTTTTTACTGATGACCTCCTCTCCCTGCTTGAACACCACGTCAGCGAAGCAGACGATGCCTACAGGGGGGAATCTGGAACAACCGCGACCGACGCCTCGTCATCAGAAGGTGCTGTTGCCAGGAAAGAGGATAACGACCAATCTAGCAAACCATTCAACGTCTCCCTGAAACTCGGGGATTTCCATCCCGAGAACGTCCATGTCAGCCTGGATGGTCGAAAGGTGATCGTGAAAGCGAAGCGGGAAGAACACGGCGACGATGACAGCTGGAAACGTCACAGCCACGTCGAATATAGCTTCTCGCTTCCAGAAGAGACGCCTGCAGAAAGTCTGACAACAAGCTTTAATACGGATGGAATACTTTCGATTACAGCTGAGAAGGATGACGCCTCCAACAAGGCTTTAAAAGGTTCGTCAGAGAAACAGGGCGAGACGGAGCAGAAGAAAGAAGAAGAATACAAACAAGCAGTCGGAGCAGACAACAATGAGGAAAAGTAGGTACTTCACCAAATGATATTTTGTTAAAGATAATGACTGAACGCTTAGAAGGCAATACAATCGGAAACATGAACGATTAAATCATGAAAATTTGTTTCCTTGGAAAGTGTATATTGTGTACTTTTAATCTTTGCTTTCCTTTAGAACTCCTTTGAAATTTAATCATGAGTGGAGTAAAATTTCCTGACATATTATTCATATTTAAATAACAGTGTATGAACGATGTGCATCTGTAAAACAAATTATTAACTCTTATTATTCATTATTAAACAATGACAAGATTATAAGATTGATCTATTGCTAAATTAGCTGGTTTGCCATATATGTTTAGTGAAGAGTGGATGTTGCACTAAATGAAAGCTCTATAACTTTTGTTTGACATGATGCAGTCATAATTATCATTGAGTTTTATACAAGATATGATTCGTTGACGTTGAGCGCTTTAGAACCTGATAAGTAGGCTACTTTATTATTACGTCTCTATAAACCTTTACGGTCGCTTCTAGACCGTGCTTGTCATCGTAGTACTGACCTTGATTTATTACCTAAAAATAAAACAAATCGAAAAGGAAAAAGCCCTCTTTTTTCAATGTTAAGTATAATACACTCGGATTAGTTTATCAAGACAAAGAAGTTTTGGTTTGAATTGTCAAGCTTATTTCTGTACTAGGCTTCCTGTCGTTCTCAAAGTATTCGTCAACCTATAAGCACTTGGTTTGTCATAGTCTTCAGAACGAAAATACTACATTTATACAACTCGAATCGTTTGAAGTGCCTAAAGACTTTGGCTGATATGCATAATAATTATATTTTTATCCATATTATATGTATTCCAGGAATAACATTATTATTTTACATAATCATTGTATCATATAGGTAATAAGAATGGACCTTGTTCTATCTTATATTTTAAGAAGCTATTTGTAAATATGTTAAGGTCTGTTTTTTGTTTTGATCAAGATTCGTAATGTGGAATGTTACTTTATCATTAGTTCTTGATGTATTACATGACAAATGATTATTGATGAATGTACAATAATTGTTATGATCAATTTATTCATTTGCAATGTTATCACTATTTTTTTTATTTGTTATACTATTTTTAAATGGTTTAAATCATCAACACATTGACAACTTTTTTCAAAAGCATGAAATTGATATTCCTGAGAAGGGAACAAGTCACTCCCAGGTGTTTATAAACCTTGTATCGGCATGGAACCATTATGGTTACTTTACTTAATACTTCATCATTGTTATTTTCAAGTTGTTAAAATGTTATCAACTGTATTGCTCAATAAAATCGTTGTGAAGTTTAACGTTGAGTGTTAATAAAAAGAAGTCAATATTATTTGTTTTTTTCTAATGAATCATGGTAACCCAAATTTGTATATATATATATATATATATATATATATAAAACAATTTGACGAGTTTATTGTGCTGGTATTAGATGGTGTTATGATGATGATTTTCATGGTGATTCTAGATGGAAATGGTTGTGATGGTGATGGTGATAGACTGTGATGATGAGAATATGTGCTGATGCTGATGATAATGATGATGATGATGATGATGATGATGATGATGATAGATGATAGATGATAGTGTTGGTGGTGGTTGTGGTGGTGGTTGTGGTGGTGGTGGTGGGGTTGACGGTGAAAATGACAATGATCCTGGTGATGATGATGATTTATGGAAATTCTCAAGTTTGATTTGGGATCCATTTAATCTTTCGCAACCAGCAAAATTAGACTATAAGTGTTATGCTTCTCATCTTTTATCAGTCGAGCAAATACCTCCCATACCTGGGCATCCTGCGTATCAATTTACGACCACTTCTCCCCCATCTCCTTTCCTTCCCCCCCCCCCTTCTCCTCCCCCTTCTCCTCCCCTTCTCCTCCCCCCTCTCCACCCCGCCCACTTCCAACATCTCTCTTTCTCTATTCGATTCTCTCTCTCTCTCTCCCTTTCCCTCTATCTATCTATCTTTCTCTGTTTCTATTTTCCCCTCCACACTTCTCTCTCCTTATACCTTTATTATGGTGGGAACTATTCTCCTAATGCCGTTTAGAATAAAAACAAAACAATAAAGGAGCAAAAAAGGAGTCAAAGATAGCAACGATGCTTCAGACAAATCTACGTTCATACCTATTCCCTATGTTACATGTGATCATAAATAGTCTGCCATACAAAACAAGTGAACAAAATATTTTAAAAATATCCTAAACGCCCCTGAAGAATGTGAAATCCTGGAAATGTTTTCACATTTTTCAGGTGCCTTTTTAGATACTAATATATTTGTATTTGTAATCTAACCCTAACCCATGTAGTGCTAATGTAATGGTTGGGTCGCCTAGTTGAATAAACGCTATTAGTAGGGATATGTTGTGTTTTATGTTCTTACACAAAGTAGTCAGTATAACTGAAAAACCCTTAAATAATTATTGATATAACGTTCCTTACTTATTGGCACTTCCGAAATTGGTCAAGTCGTATATAATAATAAAAAATACATTGTATTTCTAGAGTGCTAACTAGACGTAATACAATATGTTTTCTAAGCGCTTTACAAAAAATGGCGATTCTCAGATAATAGTACATTCAGTATCATATTTACAAATTATAAATAATAAATACAAATCAACCTATATAAGTTAAAAGTACGTAAGCACAGATACATACAGTCGATACATTAAAATACAATAGAATACAATTCCTTTTATGCCAAATCATTACTAATTCAAATTGAGGTAGTTACATTACAATGTCATGTACCGTGAATAACAAGAGCATGACATCAAAAGCTACGAACTAACAGGGAGAGTTAAAAGGGAATGTTCTTAGGTAGGATTTAAATTAATCCAACGAAGGAGCCTCCTGCAACTCAAGAGGGACCCTGTTCCAAAGCCTCGGAGCAGCTACGCTGAAGGCACGGTCTCCATATCTTGTTCGAGTTCTAGGTCCCGGGGCCAGTTGAAGATAAGCAAAGGTGGTATATCATGACAAAGTCTAAAAAATATATCACTCACATCAAAAAATCTCTCTCTCTCCTTTTTACAGTTAATTTTTGAATGATGAGCGGCATGACATCATGGGTCCAGCCATGATGGGGGAGCTTTATAATAACTGGGGTGAAAGGATATTGGACTTCGATAGGTCAGAAGGGCCTATCTTCTTTTGACTTTGCTTTTCCTGTTCCCTAATCCCCCCATTTTTCTTTTTCCTCTCTCTCTCTCTCTCTCTCTCTCTCTCTCTCTCTCGCTCTCTCTCTCTCGATTACGTGCCACTTGGTATTCGACCACCCCCACCCCCCACTCAGCATCCACACCACTGATTTAGATTTATAAACCCCTCTTGTAAAGGTGAGAAGCAATCACACTGTTTTTGTATGTCTGTAAAGTAACCGTATGGATGTGCGCGATACCATCAAGAAAAGTGTCGCTCGTTCTGGATTGTTCCTGCACTAACTACACTCCACTAATAAACCACATGATCAATTTATTCATTTGCAATGTTATCACTATTTTTTGTATTTGTTAAACTAGATGGTATAAGTCGTCAACACATTAACAATTTATTCATGAACATGAAATTGATATTCATGAGAAAGGGATAGGTCACTCACATGTGTTTATTAATCTTATATTGACAATGGAACCATTATGGTTACTCCACTCATTTCAGGTTGCGATATTTGCAGGATGGGCAGAGTGGGTATATAGGGGAGCATTATAATAAGTGGGATGGGAGGACATCGAACTTCGATGGGTCAAGAGGGCCTATCTTCTTTTGACGTTGCTTTTCCTTTTCCCTCATTAATTCCCTCTCCATCCGGCCATCCGCTCGCTCTCTCATCTCTCTCTCTCTCTCTTTCTCTCTTTCTTTCGATTACGTGCCACTTGGCAATTTGATCACCCCCTCCCCCCCCCCCACTAAGCATCAACACCACTGATTATGATGTATATATATATATATATATATATATATATATATATATATATATAACATATTCACTTCTCTTGTACTATACAGATGAGAAGCAAACTCATTGATTTTGTATGTCCGTAAAGTAACCGTAGATGGCGCGATACCAGAAAGAAAAGTGTCGCTCGTTCTGGATTGTTCCTGCACAAACTATACTCCACTAATAAATCACAAGCGAGTACGTGTTATACTATAGTTAAGATCCAGAGATTTCTCGAATGGTTTGCGGATTTGCGCGTTCTGACGAGAAACATATAAAAGGCAGATGTTCCACCTGTATTCATCACATCGATAAAGGAGAAACGTCCTGTGCATAAGCGAGTACTATCATTTTGAAAACCATTTCAGAGTTCATTTTCATCTCAGTTTTGAATTCAACCCAATTAAGATAAAAATGGAACCATTTTTCTGTCCGCCTTACTATCCAAGCCGATTCTACGGTTCGGAGCCACCAGTCTTGTCTCATGACTGGATGTTAGACATGGGCTCGTGGTATGGTGGTTGCATGCATCCATTCGCTCATCCTCCATTCGGATATCGTCGTCCAGTTCAATATCCTGTTGCTACTAGGCAAGGACGCGAAGACGGCAGAATTAGAGGTGACGTATTTACTCCCCTGAGATCGAGAGCGGAATCCGTCCGTTTGCCATTCCAGCAGCTCTTAGACGACAAGCTCTTCAGGTCTGGCTTAGCTGACGACGTTATCTGCCTTCTTGAACAACACTCGCAGAAACTCGACGAAGCCAACAAGACGTCTGGAGAAGAATTGAAAAGCAAAGCCAACAAGACGTCTGGAGAAGGATTGAAAACAAGTACAAATGATCATGAGGATTCATCCGGTGCGTCTGCACCAACTGAAAATGTTGACCTCACAAAGCCATCGACGTCTTCAGCCGAACCAACTAGCAAAGAGTCATCACGTTCCGGTGACGACGTGAGAAAAGAAATTGCAGAAAAAAGGAGGGCTGATCCTTGTGAGGGTTACATGCTTCAATTTGAACGCTCTCCTCACGGATTATATCGCCCTGTGTACTCTCCTGTGTCTCTGAGGCGAAAACAAGAAAGTGCGCCAGTGAAACAGCTCCTCGACGACGACTTCTTCAAGTCTGTTTTTACTGATGACCTCCTCTCCCTGATTGAACACCACGTCAGCGAAGCAGATGATGCCTACAGGTGGAAATCTGGAACAACCGCGACCGACGCCTCGTCATCAGAAGGTGCTGTTGCCAGGAAAGAGGATATCGTCCAATCTGGCAAATCATTCAACGTCTCCCTGAAACTGGGGGATCGATTACCACCCCGAGAACGTTCATGTCAGCCTGGATGGTCGAAAGGTGATCGTGAACGCGAAGCGGGACGAACATGGTGACGATGACAGCTGGAAACGTCACAGCCACGTCGAATATAGCTTCTCGCTCCCAGAAGAGACGCCTGCAGAAGGTCTGACGACAAGCTTTAATACGGATGGAATACTTTCGATTACAGCTAAGAAGAATGACGCCTCCAACAAGGCTTTAAAAGGTTCGTCAGAGAAAGAGGGCGAGACGGAGCAGAAGAAAGAGAAAGAATACAAACAAGCAGTCGGAGCAGACAACACGACGAAAAAAGAAAGTCGCCACAATGAGAAAAAGTAGGTACTTTACCAAATGATATTTTGTTAAAGATAATGACTGAACGCTTAGAAGGGAATACAATCGGAAACATGAACAATTTAATCATGAAAATTTGTTTCCTTGGAAAGTGTATATTGTGCACTTTTAATCTTTGCTTTCCTTTAGAACTCCATTGAAATTTATTCATGAGTGGAGTAAAATTTCCTGACATATTATTCATATTTAAATAACAGTGTATGAACGATGTGCATCTGTAAAACAAATTACAAACTCTTATTTTTCATTATTGAACAATGACAAGATTATAAGATTGATCTATTGCTAAATTAGCTGGTTTGCAATATAATGTTCAGTGAAGAGTGGATGTTGCACTAAATAAAAGCTCTATAACTTTTGTTTGACATGATGCAGTCATATCATTGAGTTTTATACAAGATATGATTCGTTGACGTTGAGCGCTTTAGAACCTGATAAGTAGGCTACTTCATTACTACGTCTCTATAAACCTTCACGATCGCTTCTAGACCGTGCTTGTCATCGTAGTACTGACCGTGATTTGTTACCTAAAATAAAACAAATTGAAATGAAAAAAGCCCTCTTTTTTCAATGTTAAGTATAATACACTCGGATTAGTTTATCAAGAAAAAGAAGTTTTGGTTTGAATTGTCAATCTTATTTCTGTACTTGCTAGGCTTCCTGTCATTCTCAAAGTATTCGTCAACCTATAAGCACTTGGTTTGTCATAGTCTTCAGAACGAAAATACTACATTTATACAACTCGAATCGTTTGAAGTGCCTAAAGACTTTGGCTGATATGCATAATAATTATATTTGTGGAATGTTATCGTTACTTTATCATTAGTTCTTGATTTGCAATGTTATCACTATTTTTTGTATTTGTTATAATATTTTTATATGGTATAAGTCGTCAACACATTATCAACTTTGTTCATGAACATGAAATTGATATTCATGAGCAAGGGATAGGTCACTCACATGTGTTTATTAATCTTATATTGACAATGGAACCATTATGGTTACTTTACCTACTACTTCGTTATTGTTATTTTCAAGTTGTTAAAATGTTATCAACTGTATTGCTCTATAAAATCATTGTGAAGTTAAACGTTATGTGTTATTAAAAATTAGTCGATATCATTTGTATTGTCTAATGACTCATCGTAACCCAAATTTGTATATATACATATATATAAAACACTGTGACGAGTTTATTGTGCTGGTATTAGATGGTGTTGTAATAATGATTTTTCATGGTGATTCTAGATGGAAATGGTTGTGATGGTGATGGTGATAGACTGTGATGATGAGAATAAGTGCTGATGCTGATGATAATGATGATGATTATAGATGATATTGATAGTGGGGTGGTGGTTGTGGTGGTAGTGGTGGTGGTTGTGGTGACGGTGACGGTGGGGCTGTCGGTGATAATGACAATGATCGTGGTGATGATGATGATTGATGGTAGTTCTCAAGATTTATTTGGGATCCAATAATCATTCGCAACCATATAGTAAAACTGCACGAGCATATTAGTGTAATGCTTCTTATATCGTTTATCAATCGAGCAAATACCTCCCCTGCCGAGGCGAGGGCATCCTGCATGGCATTTTACGACCACTTCTCCTCCTCCTCCTCCTCCTCCTCCTCCTCCTCCTCCTCCTCGTTTTCCTTCTTCTGCTTTTACTTCTTTATTCATAATAATGTTTCTTTTTTTTCCTAACAAATGACAACCCAATAATATAATATGAATAAGTTAATTTTCACACCGTCTAAATACATTATTTTTTTAGAACCCTCCCCAATCTACTGTTTTAGCGCCATCTTTTGTTTGACTTAGTACAGATACTGGGGTGACTGAGCATGCGCCTGTAGTGCGAGGTCGCTCGATATACACATGCATGTACTGTACTCTTACGTACGCTGTGTATGTATGCATGCACGGTAAACCGACCCGGGAGCTCAGCTTGGTGGAAATACCGGTGAATTTTCTGTGACACAGGCTCGGACGGTGAGTTAAATGGTCTTTTATCTGAAATAAACTAAATCAAACTATGTATTTTTAATATGAATAGTTTAAGGAGATAATATTTTATTAAAGATTAGTTAATTGAGTGGAATTTAAGATCTGTATAGACCCTAGGTCTAGGTACAAAAAACTGGAATCCCTGAAATACACTTTTTAGTTGGTTTGCATTTTCTTTGCCGGTGTGGTGTTAGTGGACAGTCTGTATCATATTCTGTTGGACTTGGAAGTAAGATCTTGATATTATTTCAAGTCATTTAATGGTCGAATAAGACATCATAATTCTTGTACCATCAATAGTATTCAAAGTTGCTCCAAACTTAATAGATCTAGCTAGATAGATGATAGACGTTAGACTACAGTCTGTACAGAGATGCCAAGTTCAAAGATAAGCTTGACTATGCGGGACATTTTCATGACCCAAGGCGCAAGTGTGCAGGCAAGGATATAGTCTGGCCCTGATGCGTGACAAAAATAGTTGCCAACGTGACAGCGTTTTCAGACCCTCGATACGTGACTGTCATGCATAATGCGTGACACTTAGCTCTGAGACGATAGTTGACTTGTGGCGAGTCGGCGAGAGTAGATCTAGCTATAGGCGCATAATTCCTTAGGACTGGGACTACTTGTACTTATCGATCGGGGCGTCATATCTCAAAAGTGGCAAACCTCAAAGTTAGCCAGGACATAATGTTTAAATTGCTGTTTTGACCAAGATATTTTTAGAATTTCGAGATGACCCCCCCTTTGGAAATATTGGAATTCACCTGCTCTTTCATATGACACCTCATTTATTGAGTATCACCTTCAGGATCACAACAGATAAAGGTTTGAATCTCGATTTGAAGAAAAAAAAAAACTTGACTGTTTTTGCATGGTCGCGCAATGCACGTAGACTGCATAGGGATGTGTGCAATCTCTATGGGAAGAATTTTAGCACACAACTTTGGGTGCGCGATCAGACACCCTACTACTAGTAGAGTAGTAGAGTAGAAATAGAATAATTTTCTAATGACAATGTAAATAGTTGACTGTCTAGTTCGATAGAGTTCTGTTCATCTCATGATCTACTCACCTGACAGCTATTCCCGGTCGTGTAACATAGGTTGTGTATCCGGACAGTTGATTTAAAACAGCAATTTGAAGAAGTTTATATGCAACATTTCATACATCCTCTAAGAGTAAGACTTGTGTTAGGCCTAGATCTAGATAATAATAATATTTTAAAGGAAGAGTATGTTGTATGATGGTAAGTGCAATTCTGTGCTTATTTTTAGTAAAATCAAATAGCAACGTGACTTGCTTTTGTTAAGTGTCCGGACACACAACCGGCCGATTTGAGAGACTGTCTTCTGTATCAAAGATTTGACTTACAAAAGAAACAACACCAAAAAGGGCAATTTTTCGTAGCCAAAATTTCTACTCACTGATGGGAAATTCTTAAAGGCAAAGACCAGTTTTGGAAACGCCTCCCTCTCAAAAAATGAAATGAAAGCTCTTATTACCAATCATGTGAAAGAATATGTTTTGACTAATACGCGATCATACAAATTTTGCTGAGAAACCGCCTACTAATTGTCTTATATTTGGTACATTATTATATCTATTTGGACCTAATAGATATAACGCACGTGTCGCGCACATGTCACACAGTCCCATATACATCTTTCTGTGTACAGTGCTTGTAACTTTACCGAGACTGGGCGAAATTTCTTATCATTTTTGATGATTCCAGAACCTTGCAGTACACACCAATACTTATATGCTACATGTAGATAATCAACCTTTTCTGATCGATTCCACAACGTTTCTTTCACAATGCAGTCGAATGACCATAACTGGTCTTTATCTTTAAGTAGTCTGTAAAAAGCCAAAGGGGTCATTTCTCTTGAGGGTCCTGCTCAACATATTTCTACTTTGAACCGAGGTAATCCCTGTGATGCAAATAAATCGGTATCCCGAATGGGAGGCTGTCTCCAAATCATAGGCTATCAAAAATCTTGACCAAAGTTTCTCAAATGAAAGACGGTCTCCCAAATAGGAGATAGTCTCCCATACGGGCCATGACCCCTCTAGGCCCTTCTGCTCCTCTCGGCAATACCATGGTACCGTAATTATTTAGAATTGATGTGTATTAATCAATTAATGTCCTACTTGGACTTCTTTTTCACAGTAGAATTTTCTTCAGGTGGATTTCAAATTAAGGTTTGCATTTGTTAACTACATGCCACAAGTTGGTTTCTGAATCTATTTCAACTACATATGTGTTTTCTTTGTTATCATTCCTCAGTCCAGTAAATGAGAAGTATGTAATGAAAGTTATAGATCTACTTGTACTGAGCCCTGGCTGTGTCAGTATTACATACAGCTCCATTCTCTGTCAATTTTGATATTTTACACTTATGTTTTATTCAATCCAATCCAATCCAAAAGATATTTGATATAGTGCCTTTTCCTTGCAGTTACAAAGCGCTGCACACACGCTCCACAATGTTTGGGCCACCTTCAAATTTGGCTGTAGATTAACTGAATTGGTTCAGAGAATGTGGTGAGATGATCTTGAAAGGAAATTGGCTGATCTGAGATACAGAAGGTCTTTTTTTTAAAGGATATTGTCCCTAGCTGAATTTTTTTTCAAATGTGACAGATTTGTAGTGAACAGGAGATATGTATTATGTGGTCAAGGTAAAGTCAACTTGGCAACGTATATTATTCATAAAAGTTTGGATCATTGTATGACTTTATATACATGTTCATATTCTCCTTTTCTTTTGTTTACAGCTCATTTACAGCTATGGCGACCCTCAAACTTTGTAAGTACCAGGTACACTATTCTCTAGCATTAACTCTAATACATGTTGTGCAATCGATGTTGAATTTGTAAAGTACTATGGAAGTTGTCAATTATAGAATGTAAATTTTGATCTGCCATTGAACAAAATAGAGACAATTTCAAATAAAAAGTTACAAAGAAAAATAAGCTAAATGTTACTTGAATGATGGTCTTGTAATGAATGAAAACTATAAAAGTGAAGCAATAGATATTAGAAGGCATAGCAGTTTAGAATATGAAGTGTTTGCATGATCTGGAATAGTATTATGAAAAGGCCTCTTCATGTTATGAGTTTATGACCCTTAAACGTTCCTTTCCCCTGCAGTGGCAAACCGAATCAAGTCGGTCACAAACATCCAGAAAATCACCAAGTCCATGAAAATGATAGCGGCTGCAAGGTATACCAAAGCAGAACGTGAACTGAAGTCGGCAAGGTCATATGGAGTTGGTGCAACAGGTATTTGATTTTTCTGAACTGATAACTGTTTGGGAGAAGCTAAAGGAGTTAATATATTATTAATAATATCTATCTGTATAGCAATCAGCCATAAAGACAAGCTATTCCTCAGGGATTGTGTTGCGTTCTCTTGCATAAACATCTCAAAGTTTTTTCAATGAATGGCATAATATATTGTATTTCCTGAAATTATTTTGGGAACATCTTGTTTGTTCGAGAATACATAAATAATCACTGTGTCAAAAATGGGTCGGGGTTATTTGTCTGGTTATTTATTTTACCATAAGAATGCACTGTTCTATGACAGGAATTCCCAAAGTTTTGCTACTTTGATATTTATCAAATTATTATTATCTGTGCCTTGCAAGTTCTGCAACGATCTTACAATGTATTCTAATCCCTCTCTAAGCAAAGCAAAGCAAATCAGCGATATCACATGATAAACTGAATAAAAAATAATTACTGAAATGTTTTTTGTGAAGTACAGGTCTTTTGGAACTTGTTTAGATTTTCAAAGTTAAGTAAATTGGCAGTATCACAAGAAAAGTATGAAACAATGTGAAGTATGATAACTCGGTTTAAAGAATACAACAAGAATAATGCTTTTTTTTTTAAATTGGGGTCTCGTTTCAGGCTACTTGATCAAACTAAGTGGTATCTGTCATACAATTTAATTATTCATTTAATTTCATTTGTTTTATGACCTGACAGCTCTGTATGAGAAAGCAGAGATTGAGCCACCCATGGAGAAGGAGAACCACTTGGTGATAGCACTGTCCAGCGACCGAGGTCTCTGTGGTGGTATCCACTCTAATGTCACCAAGGCAGTCAAAGCATACATCCTGGAACAGGGTGACAATGCCAATATCAAAATCGGAGTCATAGGAGACAAAGCCAGGTTGCAACTACAGAGGTTAGCTCACTTTCTTTGCAGTTCTTATAACTTTTATGAACAAGAATATTTGCAAAGGAAAACTTGTAAGTGTACGAAAGGCATTACTGACATACACATCCAGTCCTGGTAAAATACATCCTCTCTCGTGAGCCAGAAGGGCATTAGCGCTATGTCAAAGTATATGAGTTACACACTTCTGGCTCTTTGCAGATGGTCTTAATTTGTTGGTGAGCTATTTTGCTTCAAATTAATGTATAGGGCTTTGAAAAACAAAGCAGCAAACACTGCTATACTAGCAAACCTTTGAAGGCACCTACTTCAACAAGACCGATTATTTATGATAAACTATGTATTTGCCAAAATATATAGGCAGTAGACATGACACAAGAATACTCCGTAGAAGCTTGCAATTGAAAACCACCATGCAGACAGACTGATTGCTATTCTAAGCAAGAATATTCCATAGAAAGAAGCTTTTAGTTGAACACAATTCTTTATTTCTTTTTTTTTCTTGCAGAACACACAGAGACAATATTCTGTTCGCGGTGAATGATTACGGGAGGAAACCCCCTAGCTTCACTGAGGCATCCATGGTTGCCAGTGCTATCCTGGATTCTGGCTACGAGTTTGACACCGCAGAGGTCATCTTCAACAACTTCAGGTTGGTTTCCCACTTCATTACTCGCTTACATATGTTCATATGTGATGATACAATAGACCATATCAACAAACAAAAAATGTGGCAAAATATTACACTTTGCCTTATATTTATGTATCTTATAACCCAAAGTTAAGTAAGAATGCTGAGGGGCCTTTATTATCTGCAATTATTCTTCTTCTTTTCTTATACCCCCTATTTGCCATGTGTTTACATATACATGCAAACTCTTTATTTTGCCATTGCAGTTATATGAGGTGCTTTACTGTGTCATGTCTGAGCCAAATTTTAGGGGCCGGTTGAGTATCCTTGATACCTATAATAGATATATTGACTGCTATGAGTGCTTCGAATATTAAAGCAGTCGATATATCTTTTAAATATCAAATTCACAAAAAGAACTACAAAGATTTCTTACCTTATCCTTTTCTTGAGTAAAGACTGGTTAAAACATCACAGAAAACCTGAGACACTGTCTGTAGATCTTTGCTAGAAAGTAGCTTGAATGTTAAGATCATTCAGGAATCGCACACACACTGCACTGTAGTGTATTCTGTATCAACACTTGCACAAAGAAACTTTTTACATGTAAAGCGATCGGGATCTGAGCACAATTTATCTATACGACCTGTTACCTGGGGCAACTGGCATCTTTAAAAAGACTTGACTGGTAGGTGGGCTTGCAGGCATCTTTTTAAAGAATATTAACCGGTAGGCGGGCATAGCTAAAATCAAGACTCCTAGATGGCTAGATATTTAAAGAGAGGTATATAAAACCATATATCACTCTTTTGACTTTAATGTAGAAGTATCACTGTTGCAGGTGACATCTCAGTGATGAATGCCAATAAGTCTGCAAAACTGATACTGTACGATCTTGGCCTTAGTCAAATCATTACCTCCTTGTACCCTGACCATTGTACATCCTCCTAGGTTTGAATTTTCAATTTGAGCTATTTTAACACTAAAATTCAAACTGATATATTGTATTGCATTGCAGAACTAATATATTTTCTATCCTCTCTTTTTTTCTATTTTTCTTCCAGATCTGTTGTAGCATACAACACTAAAAGGCAGCCTGTTATTCCGTTTGATACACTGAGTACAGCAGGTAGGATTATTTCGTTTTCATATATCTCCACGTCCTACTGTAAATAATAGTCTGATGTTCAAGATTTAAACCATACTGTTTAGTGTGGTATAGTGTGCATGATATTCCCATTTTGTTAGATGGGGATTTATCAGTTTCTGCTTCAAGCCTAAAAGGGTCAGGTTATTCTGAAAACCACTTAGCCCTTTTCCATATCTTATCTTCCATGTATTATCTGACCTCAACATTGTTTTTATGACCTTACCACTTACAGAGAAGATGAGCGTATATGATGACATTGATGCAGACATCTTGAGGAACTACAGTGAATTCCAGCTGGCTAGTGTCCTCTACACATGCATGATGGACGCAAACTGCAGTGAACAGAGCTCTAGGATGACTGCCATGGACAATGCCACAAAGAATGCAGGTCAGTATATTATAAATGATGCACATCAGGTAGGGTGTTAGTAATAGGGACTTTTAGATTTACACGACGAGAACGTGGACTGCAGCATGTGACATTGTGTTAAGACACTGGGCCGTGCCCGGCAGTGCCTTAAAGGGACGTCACATTACCTTAAAAGGATGCCACATGTGGCGGTCCACGTTCTCGTCGTGTAAATCTAAAAGTTCCTATTGTCCGCTCTAGGTGAACAGCAGGCCAGTATTTAAATGATATACAACAGGTAGGGTGTTAGTAGTGTCCACTCTAGGTACCTTTAGAACAGTCTGATACCTGAGGTAGAGCTGGGCATATTAAGACTGTTTCAAAGGTATCCGGAGTGGATAATTATGCCAGTGCCTTAATATATGGTGTGTATTATATTTTCATATAGAATGATGAATATCATTGTCGTGTTATGAGTCCCCCTCATCCCTAATTCTATAGACCAAGAGTTGACTGACTTAAGTCTGTCATTAGAAAATGATAACGACCAGTCATTAGTTATGTAATGACCAGTTACGCATTAAGGATAATAAATGCCTGGTCAAATGTATTCTTCCAATTAATCATTGATTTAATCTGTCGTAATTATCTGATATGTATTACATGTCTATTTATTTCCTTCATTGTGTCCATTTGATATTGAGTTGCAGTTATGATCATGAAATACATTACATAGTTATATTCTGGGCCTGCCTTATGCAAAATGCTTTATGGGATTCGATCAATTGGATGGTTGCTTATTATTAAATGATAAGGAAAGAATGGGATCAAGCAAGATGTCTGTGTTCAATACTGGGAGTCACATCAAAATGATTTCTTAATTTGCAGTTGTTAATGGTTTTGCTGTTCCCCATGTATGTCCTGTCGTGAATCCATGTAGCCTTGCACTTCATTTTTAATTTGTCTCCTATTCTCTGTTCACTCTCTCACTCACAGGTGAAATGATTGACAAGCTGACACTGAAGTACAACCGTACCAGACAAGCCGTCATCACCAGGGAACTGGTGGAGATCATCTCAGGAGCTTCTGCTTTAGAATGATCTTAAATTCTTAACAAATATCATCTGTTGAGAGCCAGAAGGGCATTAAGACATGTACCCTACATTGAGCTAATACCTTTTAGCTCCCAACAGACCATATATGGCTTCATAGTGTTTTGTAATTGTGTTTTATTTTTGGCCAATCGATTCTTCAATGCAGAGGTCAATCGGAGGAGAAACTGTACATTTGAAAATTGAGTAAATGCATGTACAAGCAAAGATTTGTGCACGCCTTTTTAGAAATAAAATAGTAATGTCAATCGTTACCAGGGATAGTAAATTGAAAGGGAGCTTTGATCGAATGATGGCCTCCTGATGGGCGGGAAGATGTGATATAAGAAATTAATTAAGATACCGGATAATCCTAACACCTTATTCCATATTTATCGGCTCTGAACAAGAAGAACAAGTGTACAAACGATTTTGACTTCCATTTAATTGAGATACAAACAAGCCATTTGTACAGAAGCTCAAACGATTTTGACATCAATTTAATTGAGATACAAACAAGCCATTTGTACAGAAGCTCAGGCCTAGCTCTATAAGATCACAGATTCCTTGCAGTTTGCTTCTCTACAAGAACCTGTTTTAATTTGAGGTAGAAGCAAGGAGACAGAATTTGATAGCATACCTATGTGAGAGCGCTGACTGTATTCTTGACTGCACACAGATTTGATATTGATATTGTATTAAATACCAGAGGACCTAAATATCTGAACAAATTGACTGTCTGTGTTTACTTTTGAGAGAAAAGGATGAGAGACGTGTGACAGTGATTGTTACCTATATCTTCCTCACTTTGCATATTCTTAAAGAGAACATGACATACCCTAATGGAAAAGTAGGAGAAACAGATCGACAAGTTTGAGGAATTTAGAGAACTAAAGATGCCTGGATTTTTGTTTCCTTCAAATGATGAGATGAGACTGGCAGTGAGTGCTATATTGGTCTTGGGCTGTGATGTTATAGCCTATCAATTCAACAATTTTGGTGTAAATTTTATTTTCTAAATTATTATTTTCCACCAAAGAAACACCCTTATAAGCCTTTAATAGCTTAAAGCATTAAAGTGTTAGGAGCCCTAACAATTTGATGGCAAAGTTTCAATTAAATTGTTTCATAAAGTGAAAGAGGATGTCATTAATTTTGAGACACTTTTCTGCATGCATTTTCAAAACAAATTTGTCTGAGGTTGAATATTGATGAAAGAATACAAAATTTGGTTAAGGAAAGAAAATCCAAATTATGTATTCTTTTATCATTATATGTTTTTAAACCGACATTTTGGAGGGGAAATCTTTGCAGAAATGTGTCTTAAATGACATCCTCTTTCATATTATTATACAATATACGTGAAATTTTGGCGCTACCAACACTATATTGGGGCTTAAAGTTATGTTGATGGTATTAAACACAATGTTGAAAATGAAATTAACCAAAAATAACTTGACATATGTTTTTAGGATTTAAGAAAAGAAAAAAAAAAAATTAAACTGGTTACAATCAAAGGAACATGAAAGACACAAGGAATCTACATAGGGGTAACGTCGAAGATTCAGGGTATCCAAAGTCCAACTTAATCAGTAAATAGCAAGGTTATGGCGTGATATAGTTGTTGATTTTGTCTCTATTAGACAGGAATAATAATTGTCATTAGATGTTTAATTTCTTCAAGACCTTTGTGATCTGTTTCACCGACTTTAATGGTTCTCTTGAAAACTTTATTTGAAAGGACTTAGGCTCTGTTTGGGCTAGATTGATCTTGTATATGAGAGTGAACTACTTGAAAAGAAAAGAAAGGGGGAAGTGAAAGAGGAAAGAGCAGAGGAAATACGAGAGACAGAGTGAGACATGGTTTGTTTATTGGCCCGTCCAATCATGGAGAGGATATCTAGGCAAATGAAGAACAGGGAATTGAAATGAAAACGTAAAAGACGTGGTGAGGAGGGGGGAGGGGGGGGGGATTGGTTGTGGGCAGATTTGTATGCGTTTTCTTTTTTCTCTTCCTTACTCCTTCCATATCTCTCTTTCTCTTGCCCCCTCGCCATGTAAGGAGTTAACTATTTTCTTAAAGATTGTGTCGGTAAGAGGTTTCAAACTGATATAATCAACAGGAATAGATAACCCAAACATACGAAGCATCACAGATTGAACAGCAAATCTCAGCAACGCCTATCTGAAATCTGATTTTTTATTTTATTTTTTTAAATTTTTATTATTACATTTTTTATTATTATTATTATTTTTATTTTTTTTTATTATTATTTTTTATTATTTTTTTTTTGGGGGGGGGGGGTGGAAGGGGGCATAATTGGTAACCCCCACCCCTCTTTTGAAACTAAATTTGCATACTTTTAGTACACAACAACAACAAAACCCCCTTCGGAGTATTTTATTTTTCCTGGAACCGCCCATGTTGAAGAAAAAACTACAAGTCATTCATACCTGTCTCGAGCTCGAAAATACAAGGAAGCTCAGTTAACCACAGTTTTTGGTTTCGGAAGGATTCCAATAAATTGAAAGTAGAAGGGGTATGATTTCTTTTGTATTTACTTATTGGATGCGTGTCACCATGTACCACCGTTATTTAGTTTCTCATTGATGTTCAGTCACATCATATACGCTTTGCAAAGAGTCGGTTGTAAAATTACCTAAAATGGAGTCCTCTTTGAAAAATGGACCGGATTGTATAAAATGCTGCACTTCGAACAGTAGTAAAGAATTTATGTTTGACAACTACAATCACCGCTTGATTGTCAACTCCATTGTAACGCTCATCGCAGTCACGGGTACATGTGGCAATGCGCTGGTCATCATTGCCGTGTTGGTGTCTCGCAAACTCCGTACGACCACGAATGCCTTTGTGGTGAATCTCAGTCTCTCGGATCTTCTAAGTTGCGTCGTGCTTTCCTTCAATGTCTACACAGGGCTGTATAGAGGGGAAGACCGACCTCTGCCGGACTGGTTGTGCTTGGGTGTTTCACACACCCTCCTATTAGGCTTGGGGACTTGCATTTTCTCCCTCTCTCTCATCGCAATCAACCGATATTTCATAGTCACGAAATCTCTTGCCACGTATCAGAAAGTTTACAGGCGAAGATTTATTGCATTGATGTTGGCTCTGTCTTGGGTTTACCCAACTATTTTAATTGGCGTGACTTTTGCCATCAGTGATTCAGGGCAATACGGTTACTCTAGAAAATACAGAGTTTGCTTCCATGATACAAGGGGAGAAAACTTTTCCATCGTTAAATATATCGGGGGTCTTTTGCTTTTGATACCAACGTTCATTGTCACCCTTGTGGCATACGCCTTGATTTACCGACATGTTCGAAGGCACAATACAAAGCGATTAAAGACAGTTCAGATGCGATTTCATCCAAGTTCAAATGATGGTGACGCTGGCCCTGCGACTAATCAAGGCAATCCCACCTCTGTAGCAACCAAAGACATCCCGCCATCAGGTGATACAGAAAGGATGCCTCAGGATGCCGATGAGCGAAGCCGTGATGCCCCGAGGACACAAGTAAAATCCAACAGTCCGCGCACTCGAACATCACCTGAAAAACGGATCCGAAAAGTACAAATGGACATCACCAGAAGTCTCTTCATAATCGTCTGTGTACATATCGTTCTGATGCTACCTTATGCCATCGCAATACTGACGAAGTGTAGTGCTTTCACTCTTCCGTGGGTCTTTGTTCTCTTTGTAGCGACACCGGCCTTAAATCCTTTGGTTTACGGATGGAAACATCCCCATTTTAGAATGGTCTTCAAGAGCCTGTTAACGTGTAAATACAGAGACATACCAGAACCTTCACAGTTAGGACGTCGATGTTTGTGTTTCAACAGATCATCTTATTATGTATGAACCAACAATTTTTCTTTGTCATTTTCTTTCAGATCTTACACTAATCCTATGGTCATTCGTTATTCGTGAGATTTGCAATCATTCCATGGTATCCAAATGTGAATGGTTTGAGACATAACAGGATGATTATGCAAAAATGTTATTGAAAGAATCCGTTCGATTGGCTGCCTGCCCTAAACACAAACAAAGAAGACAAAAGACTTCATGCATGGCTGATCGTCAACGAAACGGAGTTAAGTCTTTTGTCAACTCTGTTTGTTGCTACGGCAGGCAGCCAGTGAAAACGAATTCGTTTAATAACAATTTGGAAATGAAACATTACTTTAAACAAACAGAATTTTGTTATTCCTGGCTAATTTTTCCTGAATGAGGTGTCATAGTTATGAAAGGGCAGAAAAATGAACTGTCTAGAAATGTGATTTTCTCTTTAAAATTCAGATACCGTTCGCCAAATGACTTTTTAGTACCCTTCCTTCAAATTATTTGTAATCACTCATGCGTGACATATGCATCATATGAGTTGCATCAAAATATTTAAGAGGATCTATAAGCTTTACAAATATGTGTCCTGTATTAATTATGATTGTGCTTAAGTTATGATAAAACATCGATACATTTCGATTTCATTTTTTTCTGGGACGCACTGTATAGCTGCACTCTATAAATTGAAATCATTATTAGCATGTCGTGCATTGTTGAATAATCCTACATTTTCAACCACTTTCATAATAGGAGCAACACTCACTTTCTGTAGCCTATATACTTTTAATCCTCATATAATCTTCCGTTCTATATCTCAATGATTTTCATTAATTCGTTGTACAACACTAGTAAAACAAAAAAAAAACATTCAAGAAAAAATCTCGAGAGCAATTTCAATACACCATAATTGTATTGCCTATACATACACGCATGCCGAAACCATGTTCGGTTTATTTAGTAGACACTTATGTTCGCACACGTATGATGGACAAATTATTCTACAATAATAGTATGAAAGGTTTGTTTTATCACATTCGGCTCTTTCGGTTGTTATCCACAAAATTTCTGAATGAAAATCTATAGTATCGCTCAAGGGCAGCTTCGATATAATGTACAATGTTTTGAGATCTTTCGTAATGGCTCGTATCTTATTAACATTTCAAAGACTTATTGATATGCCATAAATAAAAGTCTGTTGAAAACTGCAATTAAAAAGATCATCTGCGGGAGAAAAAGAATGTCACACACTAATACATTTCAGGTATCGTAACTTTCCGATATATTTTAATCTGAGTTTTTCTTTTGACTAGTTATCTGGCGAAAGACTAAATGTGTCAAATTTGTTTGTATTAACCTAAATATAGCCGATATCGGAAACGCGGGGTTTGAAAACGTAATTTACGGTGGATACTCAGTTAGTTGGGTGTCATGTATCTGTTGAACCTAAATATGTTTAGATTATAGGGAAGTACAGTGTTGAAAAACGGTTATATTTTGACTTTGTTTTATCTTTAGAGTTGCGGTCTTGATAAAGATAACGACAACTGTAGCAGGAAGTTGCAGGGAGGGGGGGGGGGGTGGTAAACGTTCCCCCATCAAATCACGAAAAGAGGGAGACAGAGAGAAGGGAATCGAAAGCGGAACGGGACTGAAAAGAAGACGCTATTCCTTTCACTTTCTGATCCCCTCTAATCACTTTCATTAATCGAGTTGCTGCAGTGCCACCCCCCCCCCCCCCTCCCCCTCCCCAGATATCGTTACCCCTTAATGTCTTGACCATGCACGCTCCATGCAACTCACTTTAAATATAATTTACACTATACTATGTAATGTTATGACGAAAATAATATTATATATGACTAAAT